ATAACAGATTTCACCCTGCCATTCTGTAGTTTGATAAACGATAATTCAGATACAAATGTGACTTAGCAGGTGGATTTTTGCTTCTCATGTATTCCTGCAGGATAGATGTCAGCCCAGTTCCTCATAGATGGAAGGAGAATATACTGAGTTGGAAGATGTAATGAACTTGTGTCAACAAGCTCTATGCAAAGGTCAGGGATCAATAGGAGTGACCTGATTGTCAGGAACATCCCCGGCCACAGTGCTAACTGAGTGTAAGCTTCATTGTCAAAGCTACATTTATCTTTTCAAGGGATTTAAAGGCCTACCGGCTTTGGGAAGTGAGACTGACAGGATAGGGAAGTTCAAAATTACCAGCTGAAACTTCCATTTGCTGTTAACATGAATTGACCTATCTGTGTCAATCCCATGCAGCAGCATCTTTCCAGGCAAGACTCACTCACCCACCATCTCTGACATTTCCTGGCTTCCTTGAGACTCTTCCTTAAGAACAAACAAACACAACTTGATTTCTCTGAAGTGTGATTTCCTCCCAAACCCATAATACTGGATTACTCCTAACCCTAAAACAGAGAACATCACTTTGTGATACAGGCTGCTTCCTGATCTAGGAGCAACAGCCCTGCTGAAACATCTCATTCTGCATTGTCTGAAACACTACACAGGATGAGCAGAGTCTGGACAGGAGAAAGACAGGAAAAATGGAATTACTGGCTCGTGAAATGGACACTGACAGAAACCTGAAGTGTTGAGCTCACTCAGATGCCGTCTGTGTTTAATCCAGTCATCAGACAGTCTCTGTTTAACTAAATATTTGACTTCAGAATTGGGCCTGAATTATTATTGGCAAAGCTTCCAAGCTCCACAGGTCCCTCTAACAAGCTGTTCCTCTGTGGAAGCCTTGCAAGGAGATGAATACAGCCTTTGAGGAAAGTGCTAGATCCCTTCTCAGGCTTCCAGAGGGGGTTTGTGGAGTCCCGTTAGGTGTCCAGGGTTTTCTGAAAGCTTCATATGTTGACTGTTAGAAGCTACAGGACTGATGTTTGTGTGCATTGCTGGGATGTTCCCAGAGGAGTTTTGGCTCCGCAGCATGTCACAGCAACAGAGTTATCAAAGAAGCACCAAAAATAACCTAGTCTACAGGACAACTAAAAGCATAGCCCAGACAAAAAATAAATAAGATGGAGCCACACATGAAGCTATGTAGCCAGAGCTGTAACGTGTATTCCATTCTAATGGGACAGATCTGAAAGTGAAGTTTGCAAACCATGACACAGAGCTGGGAAGGTTAAACTCTTTCATACCCACAGCTGGGACGTAAAGCAACACAAACATACAATTCTATGCGGCATCAGTGACAGCCGTGTACCACAGTGCCCAAAGGATCTAGTTCAGGTGCTGCCACGCAGAGCCCATGGTTGCTATCTCAGCACATGGTGCTGTTTGACACCTGGTCATGTAAAAAGAGTCCATCAGCACTGAAAGAGGAACGTGGTCATCCCCTCTCCTACGCAATATTCAATTTCCTAACTGTGGCAGCATATGCCAGAGAAGACAGTCCTCCAGGGATGAGGACTGTTCCCCCAGCCAGGTTCCCCCACTGTGGGCAGCTCCAGGGAAGCAGTGCTTGGCTTCCTGGACTACAAGCAGCTGCAGGCAGGAGGAGTCACCTTCCAGTTTTGCTTCCAAAGGAAGATTATAAATTACAGTCCAATTTGCTAAACCTTTGAGTAAGCAACTGTTTCTGCATAAACACATGCTGGTTTGTGGGCTGTGTTACATGGCTAGCTGCAAATCTGACTGACTTTAAAATCAGTGTATACAACTAAACCAGGGAGCAAACAAGAGGCACATTTTAAAATGGCATGGATTTAAGCAGCCTGACTCATGATTTTTCAATGGAGATTGAAAATAATGATTATCCTAAACTAACACATAAAAATTGTGCATGCAAAGTAAGAGCACAAAATGCTATGTCAGAGAGCTTCACTTCTAAGTGAGAAGAAGCACGTAGCTGGCTTAGCTAGAATTATTCTTCAAGTGAAATAAAGTCGAAGACTTTAACACCTTTCTGCAGATGGGGTCAATATATGCAATATATTGCAAAAAGAGCTCAAATTACCACCTCCCTCTGTCATTCATTATGCTACAACATTAGTGGAAAAATCCAAAAGCTCTTTTAGGTCTGTTAGCTAATAAATGGATTGCTAGGTGAGTGTTCAGCGTCGTTAATAAATCCTTGAAGCATTTTGTACTTAGTATCAGCAGAAAGTCTTTGTCTCTTCCACCCCTGAACACATACCTATTTAGTAAGGACAGAAGGAACTGCCTGCATTGCTTTTTTTTCTGCCTGCTGGAAACACCCAGATCCACAAACAGATGTGAACTTGCAGTGCATCTGCGCTACTTCTCTTCCAAGGTCAGCATTAAGCAGCAGAAGAGCCGTAGGTGGTCAGTCCTGGCTGATTCAAGCTCTGGAAGAGATGCAGACAATGACATTAACAGTGGCAGGTTAATTCCGGACACCTCTTGGTCCAAGGATCTCTTACAGCATAACAAAAGACTATCAAGAGCCAGAGGTCCCACCCAAGGCTTCGGTGCATGGTACGTCTGGACAAACTGGGATTATTCTCTGCCCTATTGAGGACTGTTTCCACAGCCCCCAGGCACTAGGGTACCCAGTGGGAAGGGCTCAGTCCTTTTCAGTCATTCCTGCTGGCTCCATTCCAATTTGTCTAAAGACACTTAAATATTCATTGAGAGAGAGCACGACTGTCTCGCCCGGTGCACAGACTGCTCTCCAGGGAGACGGGACACCTGCCTTCTCCACTCCCTGCTCCATCAAATCATTAATTATTTAAAATAACAGGAAAGAGCAAGAAAAAGTCTCTGCACCAGACTTGCTTGCAGCCTGCTGTTTACAGTACTCTCTGGGGTCTTGTGGAGACCAGGGTTTGCATCTCCCCTCCAGCAGAAGCAAGGATCAAACCTAGCTTTCCCCCTTCCTTGGGGAGGATGCTCTACCCGCTGAGCTATTGTACAAAAGAAGGGCTTCCCCTTTATCCAGACAGACCTTATGTTTGCTTTTCCTATCAGAGAGGGTGTCTTTTTTTAAATTCAATTTGAATAAAAGGAAAACAAAACACAAATCCAAAGCTCTGAGACCAGCAGCTAGCTGCAGACCCCGACACAATCTGTTGTTGCTCAAGAGCTTAGGGTCTACCTCCCCATTTCACAGCCAGGCAGGCCTGCCCCCAGGTCAACTGCATCAGCGCTTGGCTACGGAGACCCTCGGCAGTTGGCTTCGATGAGATGGAAACCACCACCCAGCTCTGCTGCTCCCTGTGCTGAAGATACCTCTGGTGTAGATGTGCTGACAGAGAGGACGTTTCTGAAGCAGCAGAGGGTCTCTGCATCCCCACATCCTCCCGGGATGCTGCCTGCCTCCCCTCATCTCCCACCAGACGCACACACCCCACTCTCTCTCGCGGGTGCAGCACAGACCCCGCACAAGGGTCCCTGGAACAGGGGTGTCCCTCAAAACTGAGCCCAGGGAACAGTCCCGACTACACCCTGGAGTTCACTGCTCACTTCAGCAAACCGTGGCAGGTGAACAGCACTGGCACCCTCATGTGGTCGCCGGGATCAGAGTGTGCTCGCATCCAAAGCGATGGTACAGCAAGGCCAGAGGGCAGGGGGACAGTCCTGCTGAGGAGCAGAGAGGAGACCATGACAAGGACCGAGTCTGACCCAGGTCTGTAGGCCAGCATGGTACAGGGAGAGAATGCAAAGCTGATGCTGCAAGGACTAAGTTGAGAAATCAGAGTAGAGGTGCTGGAAGGGTTCTTGCAAGGTCACCCCTCTGTCCTGTGACCAGCAGCAAATAAACCCCCACATACTGCAGGCAATTCCCCTTTGCTGTCTCGGCCACTGGGAAGCCAGACACAGGAGAAACCAAAGTCCTACCTACAAAGATTTAAGCTCATGCTTCCCAGTCCTTCTGATCCTGGGTTTGCAGAACAGGTTGTTCTTTTCTCCTTGCCATCACCTTCCCATGTATTTGAAGGCCGACAAACAACATCTACTCAATCAACCCCAGGTGTTACTCAACATGTCACCCCATATCCATGGCAAGACTGACTGCAAGCAAACACAGGAAAGGTGAGAAAATGCAAGAAGTAGGGAATAGTTGTGTACCATGCTAATCCTGACAGATTCAATACGGGGAGTAAGCTGGGGAGGTGGGGGGTGGCAGAACCCTCACCAGAGACTTTGCACAGGCTTAACTGAAATGGCTGTGGCAGAAAGAGGGGTCTCCATGGAGCTCCAGGAAAGATTTGCTGCCAAGAGAGCTGCTACCTAATCCCCTGTGAAAAGGTAGCAACACCTCTCAAGCCTAGAGACAGACAACACTGACAGGACCAAGCACCCAGTTTTGTAATTTTTTTGGCTGTTTTGGACCTTTTTTTTTTTTCTGCCTACCTCAGACCTCCCTGAAACACATGAATCTCCCCCCAACCTCAGCTCAGCCACTGACTGGTTCCTTCCTCCTCATACTATCAAAATGAAAAAGAAAATAAAAGACAAAACCAGTCCCAGATGCTGAAACTGGAGAATTAACTAAAACTCTGAGTGAATAGCACTTCCAACCCATCCTGCACCTGCTGCTATGCCTGGGCCAGCTGTGTGATAGATGAGAGCACCTCATCCCCTGGAAATGCCAAACCCCAAACCCTGCTTTCAGGGAAAAAACAACAACGACTCACCTTGTATTTCCCACAGAATAGAAATCCATCTCCTCCGAAATCGGTTTAGAAACAGAATTAACCCCCCCACAGCCTCTGAGTAACAGCACTTAGCAGAGCCACACTGAGGTAAAGGGTGGCACCAGCCTGAGTAACAGCCTTGCAGACCCCTGACTGCAATGGCGGTAGCTGGATTTTCCCCCTAAGAGTCATCCCAAAACGTCCCGAAAACACCGTGTTTGCCCGAAAGAGGATTTATTTTATTTTATTTTCCTTTAAATAACAGTTAAAGAGGCGCTCTGCGGCGGCGCGGCCGCAGCAACCATCCCGCCCGTGAGGCGGCGAGGCCGCGCCTGCCTTCCCGCCCTGAGGCGGCGGGGCCGCGCCTGGAAGCCCGCCCTGAGGCGGCGGCGGCGGGGCCGGCGGCAATGGGGGACGACCTGGCACCGGAGGGTGACACCCGTGAGTGGGGGGCGAGGCGGGGGCTGCCCCGGAGGGGCGGCGGGAGCCGCGCCGTGAGGGGGGGATTTGTGGGGCGGGAGAGGACGGGCGCGGCGCTGGCCTCCCCCGGCCCCGGGGTGGGGAGCTCAGGGGCACGGCCGAGATGCTTTAAAGGATAACAAGGCGTTTAAAAACCAGAGTAGGTGTATAACCTACGCGGGAATCGAGACTGCTTTTGCCCCTAAGCACACTGTATCCCTAAGATGCTGCATAGAACGTCATTGCCCCCCACTTCGGCGTTTTGGTCCCTTTTATCGACCCGTCCCCGGCCGCAACTGGGTTGTCTTTGTGTCTTGCAGCCTCAGGTAGAGCCCCCAGACAGTTTCAGCGCGTTTCTGTGCACGCCTTTCTTCTCCTTTGCTGCGTTTTAAAACCTCTTGCATAATAAACTGCCTGTGAACTGGTGCATTGCACTGACTGTAAATCGTTTAAATTGTTTCCCACACTCTTTGGGATAAATGAGTTGATATTCAGTACCGTAAGGTATTAAATAGCCCAGAACCTGAGCTCAAAAGAAAACTGCTAAATATCTCCTGAAATGCTGCTGTTGGATGGGTGCATGCCATGACGAGGGGTGCATTTACATTTACAGGGCTAACTTCACCAGTGTGGACACCAAGTAGGAAACTCAGACTGCCAAATTGTTTCCCATGTGTTGCTGAAAATAGATAAATTGAGGCTTCTACAGCCTTGGCAATGCAAGGTTTGTTACTGCATCTTCACGGGTAGAGAAATGAATAAATAAGTCAAGGGGCAGTTTGGCATCTTGAAAATGATGCTTTGTGCGATCATAAAATGTAAGAACACATTTCTGTCATCTGGAGAGCAGGGACAGCAGTATTTGCTTAACTGAAACATAGAATTTACTCCACTGAATGGAGATAAACATTTGCAAGGAGGAAATATGTGTTAAAAATTAACATGAACTCCACAGGTTTTTCCCAAGTTCTTCTGATACTTCCTCTCAAATGGAGGGTCCGTGTGGTATGGAAATGCAGTCCCATTAACACACTTGACCAGATGAGAACAGGCTCTCAATATAGAGTACAGAAAATCCTGTTCCTGTAGAAATCAGTGTCCAGATCCTGCTGTCTTCATTGTAGCAGTGAGTCCAACACTCTTGAATGATCCTATCTGGTATTAAAATTTACCTTATTCATGTTTTTCTTGAGCTAAAGATTTTTGTTTGAAGTTAAGAAGAACAGAAACTGGACGACGAGATTATACCTCTGCTGCCCTAAGAGTCCACAGTAGAGGTGCCTTCTGTGCCCTCCAGAGAGAAATGGGGTAGTGCTATTTAGACAGCAATCTCCTGTTTATCTTCTCAGTGTGGTGGAATGGGAACAACGGTATGTTTTGAGGCCTCTTGTATGGCATGCGGTTAGTATCTAGTCGATACGTTGATGCAAACTGAAGTTGCATTGAGGCTCTGCTACCCTCAAACTGCTGCCCGAGATCTGCAGAAACATAGAAGAGAGCAGAGCCTCTAAGCCAGCTCTCCAATGGGATGTGACAAGCTGAGGGTCTGCCTCAAGCACCTCTTGAAAGAATTTCCCAAAAGCACTAGGGCAGAGACTGAGTGCAACCAAAACTGACACCAGCCTTGCCAAAAACCTTGAGAGCCTCCCTGTGGGGCTGCGGCTGGGCCAGAGTCACAGCCTTGCTCTCATTTCTTGGCAGGAAGGTTTGTTCTGTCAAGGAGAAGATTGCTGGGGCAAGGCCCAGCATGGAAAGTAAACACCCTTAAGCTGTGCCTGACTGTGCAGGACAAATACTGACAGTTGTGGTAAATTATGCCCAGAACTGCCACGGTCTATTAAGAGATGCAACGCTAATCACAGGCCTGGCTAGCAATTTTGTGCTGCTTGGCTGATTCAGGTTGCCCGAAGGGGCACAGCAGGATCATGTGTGAAGGCCTCCTTGTAGAGCAGTGGGATGTAAGTGGAGGGATGGAAGAAAGTATCTGTGTCATCTACCTGAGCCCTCACATCAGCTCTGGGCATTGAAGGGTGCCCAGAGGACATGGACCTGATGGAGCAAAAGGTTTTGCAGCTGGAGTAATCCCATGCAGAGAAAGACACTGAAATGGAAAAGAACCTGGTAGGACTGGAAGAGCACTGATGTGGCACAGGGGTACTCACGGAAGGGGAGATAGTGGGAGAGGATGAATCTAGCAAACATGCCCCGTAGGGCCAGGATTCTTGTCAGAAGAATCTTTCTGCAGTCATCCTTGCAGCCACCGGGGCCAGTGAGATAAAGGGGGAGGTTTGTTGGGGCATGCTGCTCCTTGCCAGTACTGTTTTAATGCCTATTTTTCTGTCTCTGCTGTAGTGCTTCATTCAGAGAAGGAGTTCCATAATGCAGCAAAGCGTAATGACACAGCCAGGATGGAAGAGCTCATCAGGAGAGGGGTTGACATCAAAGCCAAAACCAATGTAAGTCCTGAGTTTTTCACCTCTGAGCTACAATAAGTGCTGAGGGTGTGTTTCACAACTGCAGCTCCTTAACACTTCTCATCAGCTGCTCAATTGGTCAGAGCTTGAAAATACACCACTCAGTGCTAAATAGGACCTGTGACAGCTGAGCAGTTTCACATCACACTGAAACCCACAACACTACCATCCTGGCCAGACTGGAAAGTTGCAAGTCCTGAGGGAGGGTGATAATTTATGGTTCCCCTTGGAACCTGTGTGCCAGATACACACAGCTGCAATGGAAGGCTTTGATTTCGCTATCTGTATGCCAAGGCTGTGGAACTAACTCAGTTCCTGGTGCAGGTCTCTTGTTGACCAGTAGGTTCCTGGAGATACAGGATTGCATCACCCTCTCTATTTTAATCTGTCCATCCATAGTCAGTGATGTTTCTCATTCCTGTGCTGTCATTATTGTCCAGCCACTATAAACTAAACTGAAGTTTCTGAGTAGAAGGTGACTGGCACCTGCCTGTCTGACAAGAGCAAAGAGACAGAGGGCTATATAGGCCAAAGAAGACCCTGCACAGTGTGATAAATTCTGGCTCCATGGATGACAAAGGAGATTTTGGCCTTCAGGAAGGCTGGTGGATACACGTGCCCTCTGCATACATCGGCCTTCCCTCTCTCATTCCTTCCCTTCTAGACAGGCCGCACTGCCCTGCACTGGGCCGCTGGAGCAGGGAATGTGGATGCTGTGCGACTGCTCCTGGATCACGACGTCCCAGTGGATGAGAGAGACAGTGTATGAAGGCAAATCTCTCTCTTGCATGTCCTGCAGATGTGTTCTGTGTTGGGGGACCGCCGGGGACTGGGTGCTGGGCTGGCAGTTAGAGACAGCACCTTTGTCCTGGTTGGGTGGCACAAGGCATCGCAGTGCTTGGGAAGCTGTGGCCTTCCTGCTGAGGCAGGCGCTGTGCCTTTCTAGAGCAAGCCTTGTTTTCCAGTGTATATGCACTCTGTCTTTTCGCCTTTTCCTTGCATGCACAGTGACTGGGAAGCAGGCTGGTAGAATCTGTGAGATTTTCTGTATAGCATGGGGATGCTTGGCTTGTTCTGATCATGTTGTTGGGGCTTGTGGGAAGACAGTGAGAGCCAGCAAGTTCTCTCCTCTCTAAAGCCGGGCTTATACACACCATTGACTAGGAGGTGGCAGTCAAGAGTCAGGTCTCTGCTCAGCTGCTGCGACTGTTTGTGGCAGGAATAATGGCAGTTGAAGAAAGTGGGGCTAAAAAAAACCAGAGAGAAACAAAAGTATTTGGGAAGCTTCATGAAGCTAGAGGGACAACTTCCCTGCAGGGTGGGGACAGTGGTGGCTGCAGTTTAGCTGTAAGTGTCTCTCTTCTCTTCTGCCCAGTTTGGAATGAATGCGCTTCTCCTGTCTGCCTGGTTTGGCCACCTCCATGTCCTGCAGATCCTCGTCAATGCTGGGGCCAAGATTAACTGTGTCAACAGGGTGAGAGTCTCCCTACGTGGGTCCATCACGTGGCTGTTAACAGTGACAGGGGGGAGAGTGAGGGGTTTACCTGTGAGCTAAGGTAATCGTGTGCGACAGCCTATGCTATGGGGACTGGTATCTGCACTTCTGCCTTACTCCTAAAACTGGTATAATAATTGTAGCCATAGAGATATACACAGCTTTCTCAGCTCACGTTTGAGCAGCAGTGATGTGGAAGGTGTCACAGAAATGGGAAATGGGTTTAGTGAATCAACAATCTGTGTATTTTAAAATAGAACTTGGTTGGGAAAAGGAGCATTAATATTTCAGTGATAATTTGCTGTCTGCAGCACAAGCTGGTTTAGCCGAGATGTGCAGGGAGGCATGGAATGGGTCTTTGCTAGCAGGAACAGGTTGTTAAAAGAGACTGTCCCACAGTTTTGGACTTTTTAAGTGAACAGTCCTTTACTTCCTCTCCAGAATGGCAGGAACCTGCTCCACTGTGCGGCTCAGAGGGGACACATCCAGGTGATGGAGTTCATCATGGAGGACCTGGAGGACATGTGTGTGGATAAGACAGACAAGGTAGGAAGGCTCTTCACTGCTTTGTTTTATGTGGTTTGGTCTTTCTCTGTTGAGTTTAGCAGGAATATTGCCCTTGGTCTTGAGAAGAGACTCCAAATCAGATGATGCTCCCAGAAGTCCTCCTGCAGAGTGGGGCTTAGGGATGATGGGGATTCTGGCTCTGGTCAAGCTTTGGCAGCCAGGGCTTCCCAATGCAGCCTTTTGCAGAATAAATTCTGCAATTTCAGTGTCCTCCTTTCTTGCAGCTGATGCTCCAGAGTATATTGTAAGTAAGTAATAACCAAGGGTAACCCTCTCCTAGCACGTTCCAGCATTGGCTGATCTGCTCCTCAAGGCAGCATAAGAACACACAGGAGCCAGTGCACATTCTTGTCCACTCCATGGCCATCGTGGGTTTCAAGAGCGATCCCCACTCTGGTGCTTAGGAGTTACATGAAGCAACAAGAGACCTGCCTTTCCCCCAAAGGGGTTCTGACTCACTTGATAACTGGGGTCTTACACATTAATTCCATTTTTTTTATCCTTAGTTGCTTTTAGTGAACTATTTATTATCCTCTATTTATATGAAATAAACACTGAAAAGATCTCTTTTCCAGTGTTTGATGAGATCAAAGTGCTTGCAGTTGTTAGCCCCAGTGGGTAGTTCTGTTCACCTTGTTTTGTTAGGGTCATCCCAAATGTAAAGCAGAGTAAATGTTAACACCAAAATACGTAAGATAACTGATTTTGAAGTGCAGTGCTTTTTCCCCCAGTGGACTGGGTTATCACCCAAGGCATTGTTACATTGCGTGCAGTACATGATCTAATCTTGTGCTTTCTGAGCCTGTCTTGGACTGTATTTCTTTGTTTCCTTTCAAAGATGGACAGGACAGCGTTTCACTTGGCTGCAGAGTATGGGTGGCTGGAGGTGGTGAAGTTTCTAATTCGACTGGGTTGTTCTCACAGTGCCAAAGACAAGGTAAGGGCATAAAACCACACGCAAGGGAAGTAAAGTCCAAGGGTTAGAGGATGTGAAAGTCAGGGAACAGGGTACCAAATAAGGCTCATGCAGACAAGTTGTCAGCAGTTGTAACTATGGCTGTGGTATCTCAGGGCTTCTGTTCCCTGTCCACTTGCAAGCCATTTGTACCTCAGTCCATGTTGGATTTCTCTCCAGGACTTTTCAGACAGGACGTGCAGCGAGCCTGGTGGACCATGCTCCGGTTTAAGGTAGCTGGGTTTCTTCCCTCCCTGCTGCACCTATTAGAAGACTATTTCAGACTCGTGCTACTAGTTATAACCTCCTTTTCAGTCACACTGGATATACTTTGTGAAAGGTTGTGGTGTATGAACGCTCAGTCCTGTGATACATATATGTATGATGTGATGTTTATTTTCAGGAAGGAAATACAGCGCTGCATTTAGCTGCTAAAAATGGACACCTCTCTGTGCTGCAGAAGATGATAGATGTTGGAGTGGACCTTGATGAAAAGAATTTAGTAAGTACATTTAAATGAAATAAAAACCACATCAGTTTCGCCCTTTCCCTCCCTAGAAATACTCCCCTGCCACAGTCATGAGGCTGAGTAGTCAGTATTGACAGGAGAGGTCTAGAAGATAGCTGGTTTTATCTAAAGCATACGTGTGTAAATGCAGGTCACGCTTGCAGAGTATGAGTGAAAGGCAACATCCTTGGACCAATATTCTGTTCTAAAGTATTGGCTTTTCTTCCTGCTGTATCTGCTGACCTACCTTATCACTCCATTTAGTCTCCATTTTTCTCCCTGACCCTTCTACATTCAAGTGCCTAAATGATTATTGAGTGTGTTTTAAGCTAAACCTCTCTGTGCTTTATAGTATCGATTTAGTCACTGAACATATGGACCTTCTGCTTGAGATCTCTCTTTGACAGACCTGCTTTGGAAAATCATGTGGCTGGAACACAGTTAATGATTTAGGTAGCAAATATTGGCTTAGTAACGCTGTTATTTATTCCAGGGCACACTCCCAATTAAGTTTATCAGCAGTTTTTTTAGTCTTATTTGGTTACTGTCTTTGAAAAGTGTATTTGATTGTGATTAAGATCTGAAAGAAAGGGGAAACCACCTTCTGTGGTAACTGGTAGCATTTGTCTTCCCCTAGATGAGCTGCCCTTTGTGCAAAGAGCAATAATAAAACCAGATTAAATCACTTAGGAATTCTGCTTGTTTCTGTTTTCTTGTAAAGAAACGAGCTGCAGCCCTCGGAAGGGAGAATCAGTGGTTGAGGGCCATGGGTTTCCAGTTCTGCCTGTGGCTGTCTCTGGGCTACTCCAGGAAAATGGTTTGTCATCATTGTCCATGTGAAATTCTTTTTTGTTTGCTAATGGGCTGAAGGGCAGAAAAGGTGGTGAGCACGATGTCTGTCTTGTGGCCCATGGTCAGCTGTTTCCAGTCGTATAAGGACAGAGCAGTTCTTTGATATGTCAGTGGCAGATAATTGCGTCCTTTATTTCCCTAACCATCAATTGGATGATCCCTGGCCCTCTAAACTAGGATTTTAACATGTCATGGATTCAGAAGACGGGGTAGAGGCTTGCTCATTCCACTGCTCTGTCTTGGCCTTGTCTACAGAAATGCTGCTTGTCTCTTTTTTTGCCTTGTCCAGGAAGGACTTACAGCTCTGCACCTGGCTGCTGAGGGGGGTCACAGCGACTGTGTGAAGCTGCTTGTGGAAGCTGGCGCTGATGTCAACGCCCAAACCCAGGTGAGTTCCACGGAGGTGATTCCATTTTCAGTCACTACTTTGTGGATTTTTGCCTAGATTTTTGCCTCCCAGGGAGGGCACCCATTACTGGGTGAGGCTGTGTAGAGCTCAGCACTTCAGAAATAGCGCAGGACGTCCAGAGGAAACTGCACGTGGCTTTGTACAAAAGGGGTGGGTGAAGCTCCCTGGGACCGGTTTGGCTGTGGAGACAACCTCTGAATTTGTCAGTATGGGGGTGTGGGACTCTTGCAGGGGGGAAGCAGAGAGATCTCTGTGGACAGTCTGTAACAACTGCAGCCTCTGAGAAGAAACCCTGACTAATACCCATCTCTTCTGACGTGCCTCTCAGAAGAAGATGAACTGCCTTCATTACGCAGCACTGCACGGCTATGAGGAGATAGCCAGGATCCTCATGGACGCAGGAATCCACACAGATGCTGTTAATCATGTAAGTCCTGCTCAATGCTCTCATCTCTCACAAAAAGGCAAAGACAGTTTGTGGAGCCGGTCAAGAGCACAGAGCAGTTCTGTAAGGACCAGTGGTGCTGTGGGGTCTGTGCTTATGGGAGTGTATCCCAAGTCCAGGCTGGCAGCTGTATTAGAATAAGATGTGCTGGGCACAGCATAGTCCTTTCAGTGCCGTGAGCTAAGCTCTTCCTAAGTGCAGGGTCTTCTTTCCACAGCAAAATGCATCAGCGACACACATTGCGGTACTGCAGAACTTCCCAGCCATGGTGAAGCTCTTCATCGACGCAGAGTGTGACCTTGACATTCCAGATAATGTAAGACTGCAGCTCCTGTTCTTTGTCTTTGAAATGTGAACCGGTTTCATGGGGGATTTGATCACCTTGGGGACAGAATTAAAGAGGAGTGCTTTAAAATGGGGAAAACCTGGAAGCACAGTTTAGGAAATATGAAACCTGTGAAATGATTCTGAGTGTTGCAGTGAGGTAATTGCTTGATGGCATTCGACACGTTGGCTGTGCTATGTCCCTGCGACCTGTGCACGGCAACATTGCACAGTCAGGCTCTCTCCTCCCTGCTGGAAGCATCTGGGAGAAATTTCAGGCTGGAAGATATTCTGCAAAATGTTTGTGAATCTGAGAATGGGAAGCAAACCTGGAGGTAGCTGGTTGTCTCACCAAATTGTAATTTTGTGAATGAAGAGCTTTATGTAGCTTGTTTGTAATTTTTTGGTTAATGTTCATTCTTGTAAGGATGTTCTTTCCTGATGACGCCATAAAATTGCCACATTTTGTGTTTGATTTTAGTTGTTTCTATTAAACAGTCTCAAGGTGCATACAGTTTACAATGCATACACATTAACCCAGCCCTGTGTCCTGGGAAGAGTTGGCACGGGTCCTTTCCTCCCTAGCCAAACTATCTGCCTATAGAAATTGTTATAGAAGTAACAGGAAATAATATAGTTCTATAAGTGACCCTAGGCAGCTTTATGGAACTGAAGAGGTTCCTTCTTTAGGCTGATATGTTGTCAGGGAGGCTTCCTAGTGCTGGTGCTGGGAGAGGGGCAGACCAGTTCTGCTCAGCCTGAGGAACCCAACTCCAGTTTGAGGTAGGAGGGTGTTTGACCCTCAGTTTAAAAAGAGATGGAGGGGAGGGGAGGGCACAGCTGACTGTTCTTACAGCGCTTCCTCCTGGTATTGTTCTGTCCTATCCTTCCAGTCTCACACTTGTTGCTTTCTGAAATTTAGTCCTTTCACCCTCCTTCTGCAGAGGCAGCAGACGTCACTGCACATCGCTGCAGAGCATGGCAGGCAGGACATTGCTGAGATGATTCTCATTGCAGGAGTTAATCTGAAGCTAACAGACAAGGTAAATGTCTCCATGGGTTGAAGAGATTATAGGGGGGTATGGAGGAAAAATATGGATGGTCTTTGCCACTGTTTTTTATAATTTTCAAGGAAGCCTAGTAATAATATTAAAATCTGGATATTTCCAGAGGTAAGGCCTTGAAACACTGCTGAGTAGGTTATTTTTATGTGTTTTCAGGGAAGAAGTGATTGGTTCTTTAGGAAGGTAAAAAACAATTCACAAAATGAGCAAACTTTTTCTACTCAAGGTTGTACTAGTTCCTTCTATTTGTGCTATCATGCACATTAATATCGAAGATCTTATTGAATAATGATAAATAATACACTTCAAGGATTACAGTACAAATGTTTTAATAGGTTAAAAGTATCTGGTTGGTATAGATCTGGCACCAGTGTCCAGGGCTTTTGCCCTCTAGTTAAATCAACAAAAGGAGTTCAGGAGGAATCAGGTAAGTTGCATGCAGCCTGAAAGTGTGGCATGTGCCCAGAAAATGCTGAAGTGGGCTTGGGCAGAGATTAAAATTGTGTCTGCCATTAGCAGTGGGTTAAAGCACATACAGACTCAAAGCCACCTGGCTGAAACAGCCTGCAGCTGCAGGTAATGTTTGCCACCTTCCAGCAGCCTGTGGAACCGCAGTGAGACTCCGTGCAGGGAACACATTCACACTTTTCTGTGTGAAATTGGGTTTCTGCTCACATCTGAGGCTAGAACCGTTCTCGCTGGCGTGCCTGATGGCTGGGCTGGCTCACTTTCCTTCATGCAACTTTAAAATCTTGCTCCTTTCTGCTGTATGCTTTTAGATATGAATGCAAATCCCCTCCCTGCCCAATCCAAAATTGTGTTTGTGTAAGGAGCGTAGTTACAGTTTCATAGGCCCATCAGCCTTGTGTTTGTCCTAGGAAACTGTTTCTAATCATGCGTATGTGGAGCCTATAAAATGAATGAGGTTGTATAAATCACTTCAGTATCGTGTCTCAGCAAACCCGCTGTGCAAAAGGCTATAAAATGCCTTGGATTGTAGTGCTGAGCTGGTCCTTTGACCGTGGTGCTGGGAGCCTGACAGCACCCAGCCATCGCACTGCAGCTTAGGGGATGCTCTGCCAGCCGCTCCTGCCAAACAGGCAGATCCACTGTGGCAACAGAGGAGATGCTGCAGAGCCTAGAAAATGATTCCCGGTGCCCTGCACGCCGTTGCCCAAAGCTGGCTCACATCTGAGGTGTTTGCAGGTGGAGAATCGGGGTCCTTCATCCTGGCTGGGTGCATTGCTCTGGAGGCCTGTACTACAGAGCGCCGGGTGGGCATGGAGATTGTCTCTCCTAAGCGTGCGAGGCGTGTTTCAGCTCATTTTTGCCCTTCTGATTTCAGCAAGGGAAAACATCTCTGGATGTCGCCGCCCGAGGCAATCACGTCAACTTGGCAGACATGATTATCAAAGCCGATCGGTTTTACAAATGGGAAAAGGTGAGCAGCTTGCACCACCATCCCCTGCGCTTTCCAGGGCACATGTAGCTTTATGCTCTCCGTTGAGACTCTACCAGCTGTCAAAAGGAAAAGAAATACAGGACATCCTGTGACAGCCTCACCTCTACTTTCATCACCTTGCTTAAGGAAAGCAAAAGTCCTCACCATGCCAACATCATCTACTTAAGGCTAGGCTTTCCTTATTTAAAAAAGCCTCTGTTGTTAAAAACCCCAGGCTGCGTGGAAGGGAACAGGGGTTTGCAAAGTTCCTTTGGCAGCTGTTCCCAAAGCCCTGTAGAGGGGACGGGGATAGCGTTAGTTCCTTTTCCCAGAAGGAGAAACTGAAGCACTGAGCAGGAAGAATGCTTGGCCCCAGGTCACCAAATGGGACGTGCGAATTTTTTCAACAGGGGAAGGGAAACACGTCTTGTGAGCAGAGTGATCAGTTCTTGTTGGAGTCATACAACCAACTCCTCTCTCAAACTGCACAGCTGGGGCTGTTCCTCCTGTGTTTCCCAGTGTGGCCCAGCACGCTCCCTCCTCCCATGCCCCTCTGTGCAAGGCGCAGCGGCTCAGCCCCAGTCCCCCATCTGAAACCCTGCTTACCCCGATCTGAGCAGAGGGTGTGCTGAAAGCACAACCAAACCCCACATCCCTTGCATCTTCATAAGACTTTGGGCATCCTCCCATACCAGGAAAGACGGTGCTTTAGCCGAGAAAGAAACAGAAGGAGAGGAGGGCATGCCAGGCACAGCTTCTGGAGTAATGCTGTGTGTATCAGGCCCTTGCACGGGCTTCCTGCACAGCCCTAGGGCAAGTCATTTAGCCTTTTTGCACTCTGGCATGTAAAGGAGGCAAGCATGAGCCTATGTTGCAGGAGAGCTAGGAGATTTAATTAAATGATTCTGCATACAAGCCCCAGATAAAAGGCACTGTAGAAATGCAAATTGTGATCATCATGGGCTTCCACAGCAAAGCTGCTATTAACAGTTAACATGCATGATTAGAACAGAGTGAAACGAGAATTTAAAAAAACAAATGTGCTGTGCTAGAAGGAACTCACAGTCACCTGCAGAGCTGAGGGTGTGGGAGGCTGCAGAAGGACGGGTGCATCTGCAGCATCCCAGCTGAAACCCCTGCCTTGACTTTGCAGGACAATCTGAACAGCGACTCTGACTCCTGGGTGGCAAAGCACTTGACCTTTAAGCAAGATCACAGGCTGGAAACGCAGCATATTCGCTCAGTGGTTTGGAGATTAGCTACGAAATACCTCAAACCTGGTGAATGGAAGAAGCTGGCACACTACTGGAAATTCACTGATGCCCACATTAGGGCCATTGAGCAGCAATGGACAGGTATAAACCACTGCCCAGGTATTTTCCTTGCTTTACTTGGACTGTGTTTCTAGGAGATAAGTCTGCAGTAATAGCAAAGCATGAAGAAAATCAGCTGGTTTATTTGAAACAACCAAAAAATGAGGTTAAAAATCCTGTATTTAAATAATGTGGAGGTATCTACATGCTGGAATTTCTCTAGGAGTAAAGCACACAAGCATGGGAGTTAGTGGTCCATTCCTCACTGCTTTTGAGGTACTGCCAGACACGTTACTCCTTGCTACAGAAATTTAATCAAAAATTCTTGTTCTTTAGGGCAGAAGAAACTTACTGGGTTGTTTTTTTGTTTGGTTGGTTGGTTGTTTTTTTTTTTGTTTTTGTTTGTTTTGTTTTGTTTTTTTGTTTTTTCTTTTAAGGAGCTGAACCAAGAAGGCAGTGAAGTCCCATTTAGAATTTAAGAGATATGTTAGGAGGTTCTGAGTTTCAGGAACAGCTCACTGCTGGTTTGGTTACTGTAAGGGCTCCTGTAGGCTGCACGATGCCAGCAAGGGGCTAAGCCACGCTCTGAAAGCAGAAATTCTGTGTTGCCATGAAAGGTTGTCCGACAAGCCCAAGCTCATCCGTGGCCCACTCCATTAAGTTTCACGTTAATCTAGCAATCACACCACAACCAAGAATTAAGCTAAACTATTTTAGAGCATCCTAGTAAAATCCAAAGAGGAGGGACGGGTGTCCAAACCCACCAATTCAGAAATTCGCTCTGGTCAGGGCCGGGCCTGACAAGTGCAGGATTTCAGTTGTGGTTTGATCTTGCCAGGCACTAAAAGCTACAGGGAGCACGGCCACAGAATGTTGCTTATCTGGCTCCATGGCGTGATCACGGCAGGAGAAAATCCAATCAAGGGATTGTACGAAGGCCTTGTGGGAATCGGAAGAAGAGATTTAGCAGGTAACGCTTTGTTTTCCTTCAAATAATGCACAGGGAGCACCACTTGAACCCTGCGGTTTACACAATGCACACAGAGGAAAATTCCAGTGAAGCCAATTCACACAAGCTGGAAGCCACCCTTCACCACCCCTTTGCTACCATTACATGTCATTTCTTCCTTTTCTTTTGATAAATGAACACATCCTGCCACAGCTTTATACTTTCTGTGCAGCAGAACGTTCTCTCTTTTACAGAAAGCATTCGGAAAAAAGCAAACGCAGACTCTGCCTCTCCACGAAAGTGCGTAGCAATGTAACCCCGGGAGGGCACCAGCTGCCACAGCCTCAGCTTGTCTTAGAGCTACCGGAGAAACACCTGCCCAGAAAAACGGATCAGAAGGCAGCTGCAAGTTCAGGGCTTGTCCTGAACAGCTGATATCGCCGCTGCTTCCTTCCTGGCCTGAAACGACAAGGGTATCAGCAAACACTAACGGTCTAAAATGCCTCTTTACACAGAAGGGAGATTTTTATCAGCTACTGCATCTGGTCTGGGTACTATAGTAGGAGTTCAGTGAGCGAGCCTCAGTTCTCAGAGTGTGAGGATCAGGAAATACCACACTATTTTGCTGTAACTTGTTTACATCACATTTTTGTATATAAATTTTTAATTGTTGGTTTTTAAAGTTTTTGAGGGGAAAGCCTTTGTTACTTACCTTGTTCGGGGGGGTTGGCTATCACATGTGTCTTAGCTGCATTTATAACTTCCCTATTAGAGTGGGAATTTAAGAAAGTCAAGGCTACCACTTGGTCCTTTTGGAACTTTAAAGGTTGTGATCTTTAATGTTTCAAGTCTTTACAAAAAGTTTTAGAGAATAATGTTCACAGAGATTGTTTATAAGTGTACATTAACATACAGGTGCTGTTTATAAATCAAATAGGTAATGTCTTGAATCCCTAGGTAACACCTTGAAAAGCATAAGATGAGAAGGGGCATTGGTTATCTCCATTTCTGACAAGGACATACAGTTTTCTTAAATACCCATTTATCATGTAATACTTTGTATTCATTTTTTATGGTGTTTCAAGGGGAACATAACATCTGTATTTCAATATCCAGATTTTACCCTTAAATTTGCAAGTTATGTCTTAGTCATTCTTTATTAAAAAAAATACTACATAATTCTTACTTAGAGCTACACCAGTGCAACCTTGTAATTAAAGCTGTTCCATGCTTGAGGTGAATTCAAGTAGAAGGTGCTGGTTTTCTTAAATTTCAAGAGCTGACTATAGAAGCAAACCAGGACTGTGGTAAGCTACACAGCTGGTCTCATGTAGTCAAAACAAGAAACATTTGCAGAAATTGAAGTTTTATTGAAAACCATTTTTAAACAGCAGCAAAGTTAAAAATTCAAATGCTTTATTCCAAATAGAAACTATCAACACAATGTATGAAGCAAATAAGTGATGGCAATATTGGCACTTAAACATCTTTTAAACCAAATATTCAACAAAAATATATGTCAGCATATAAGTACATGATCTGCATGTGGCAATATATACAGCTGAGTGAAAAATATAAAAAGAAATACTGTTCTGCTTAAGAACATGATAGTGAAGACTTTGGTAGCAAAAGTGTCTTTGTTTTTAAAACTGTAGTCTTCAAAGATGCTTCCTTGAATTCGAAGACTAAAAATTAAACAGATCTATCCCATTACACTGCTGGAGGTTTCTGTCCGCGGGTAGTTCACTGACTATTGATCCTGTTGGAATCACACAGTGATAATCGGCTAACGCAGGGAAAAAGGCAGAGTGGGAACAGTTGATTGTACACAGGAAGACCACCAAACCAACTGATTGCTCATTCTCACCAAAACCTACTGCTCTTCTTGCTCATGGCTGGTGTGAAGACTGATCTTTTGGACTTCCAGCTCTTCTGCACTGACCATGGAGGGATCGATGGCTGCATACCGGGTGCCGTGGAACTGCAGTAAATGGATCTGTTGGACACGGAAAATAACACTGAAACAGGTATAGAAGCACGAGGTTTTGGTAAAAGAGAAGGATTCCTTCCGAGTAATTTTTGTGAGGATGAAATCATGGCACTCGAGTACAAGAGTTCAGAGAAAGGACGGAGGATACAGCCAAATCCCCAAAGCCAGCCCTCCCTGAGCCTAGCTGCTTCCAGCCTTGCCCTTCTGTACTGGCGATCTGGGAGCCAGAGCAAACGGAGCTCAGGCAAGTTAAACAAGCACAGAAAAAGAGTTTTGTACTGCTGTTCTGGCTGCACGTGTTAGTAGATTGGGTTTGAATCCCAAGACTCACTTGAATATATAGGTTGACCTCAGCGCTCCTGCAGAGATATGGGAAGTTGCCTCCTGTTTTGAGATGAGCTCTTCTGGCATTGGGATAAAGTTTATACATTTCTTCTTTTGCTTCGGTCGAAAGCGCACTTTGGTCAAACACCTACATAACAAGTCACAGCAGTTAGTTCTGAATCTAACCAGATTTTGTGTATTAAACCAGACTGGATATATGCTGCTCCTAGAAGCAATTCTCAGCTTCTCTGTGGAACAGGGTTAATGAAACAGAAGACAAGCAAAGGCGTTGGGCATCGACAGCTAGAAAGCTAACGCTGTGATACGTAAACATATGGCTGAGTTATTGCACAGAATATCCAATTCATAATGTAACACAGAAGAGTCACGGTGTTGCCCAGTCAGTAGAAGGCTTAGCAAAATATGAAGTTAGTGCTGCAAATATTTATTAAGTTGCTAACAGAATATCCAGGCCCCCACGTGCCAAGGGGAGGAAACTTAAAAAAAAAAAAAAAAAAAAAAAAAAAGGATGAGGTTGAGATTAACTTACATCCATAATGGTTACAGGGATGTCTCGAATTTTATGAGGTTCTACATATGAGTTCTGGCAGTTGAGGGTAAGTCTTGAAGCGAGCTCACTCTGGCCTAGACTCTCCAGCTTTCAGTAGAGAGAAACACTGATTAACAACATATTTCACTGCAGGAAGTTAATGCAATATTAACAATACAGCCAGAGAAGTCAGCTCCTTAAGGGGAACATGACTGCACTTCAAATCTAGATTATAGTTCCAATTTAGTATCTCTCTGCATGAGACAAATGCTTAAAACATGTTCCATTAGCTGCTCCTGCCTCCAGAGCATGTGGCCTACAGACATATCCCAGCACTTTCTCCTCTTCCACCTCAGTTTCTGAGCTTCCTCTCTTCTGATCTGCATATATAGAACTGTGAGGTAGAGTCACAGCACCAGTTAAATCGCTGGGGCTGTGACAGTCGGCACCTGCCGAGGATCCATTCCTTACTCCTCCCTTCTGGGTAAGTAAATGAAGAAAGCAGCAGAAATATCTACAACTTCCTGGCAAATAAATCTGCTACAGAGATTGACATCACAGCCGTTAGAGCACACAGCTACCTACCCTGTCCACCATGAAATCAATCCCATCGGCCATTTCAGGATCTAGAGGACCAGATGCAAAATTCCCAAGGACAATTTTTTTCAGCATAAAAGCAGGCATCAGCCAAAAGCTAAAATAGAAACAAGATGTAACAATCTTCAAGCACCCAGGACTCCAACATTAAGATGCTTTGTTGTAAGCATTCCCTCTCCTTGCACAGACTTTGTGCTTTAATTTCAAATGAAATCCTGAAGAAGCTTCAAGAGCACAGAGATGGAGAACCTTGCAGCTAGGTGCTTGAAATGCTCTGGGAAGCTGTTGGTCTTACATTGCAAGAGTGTATTTGAAACATGGTGAATAACACTTTTCTCACTCTAAAGGCTTTTGTTAGAAAGCAGGCAGAGTTCTTAAATCTGACCACACATCCACAGAGGATCACAGGACAACTCATCTGTCAAATTCCACACTCCCAATTGTGAAAATTTGCATTTTCCTTGTGGTGTGGCTTAAAAAAAAAAAAATAAAAAAATCAAATACCCTATCCCACACCTCCCTCACTGAGGATGGAAACAGGTTAGACACACATCCAACCAGATCAGTGTGATATTTCATTGCAGAAAAATTAACACCATAAATCTGGTTGCTTGTCTCAGTCTTCCTTACCTGTTTGCTGTCCACGTCTGATTGAAGATAGAAGTGTCACTAAAGGAATTACATAGGATCAGAGATTGAACTCTGGGAGATTTGTGTGTGTATTCAGCAAATTTTTGAGCCAGAAAGCCTCCCAGAGAAGCTCCAAAAAGGTGAACCTAATTCAAAGGAAAAAAAACCAGATCATGGTACACTTATTTCACAAGTGACCTCTAAGCACAATGTTTCATTACAAAAATAAGTCATTCAAGTTCTACCCTGTCCTCATAACCCATTTTTCAAAAGAATCACACTCTCCTATTCAGCTTTTGGTTTTGTATGTGATAGAAACACAATAAATACTAAAAAAGAAAGTGTTCCCAGGTCATGGTTCAAATCTCTGTTTGCTCATTGAGGAAAAAAAAAAAAAAAATTAAAAAAAAAATCAAACATTTCACTTTGTCCTCAATAGCTATCCCAATCCACGATACTTTATTGTGGTATTCCATACTACATGAGTTAGGAAGAATAACTTTTACACAATCTCTTGAAAAACTGTAGTTTAATAAGCCTAGAACAGCAGTTGAATTCAGACCAAGTATGACAATTTTCAAGGGTATTCACCTTCAAAAATAAACTTGTTTCAAAAGTAAAATTGCAACATAGCGTCCGTATTTATAGGCTACGGTTTGGTGTCATATTTTACACACTTGCTCTTAAATGAGACTCTTTCAAACATTAGGGTTTCATTGCAACTATATATCCATTTCCCCATCTCGGAGCACTCACTTTATCCAGCTGAAGGTGGTCTAACAGTTTTCGGAATCCATCACAGAACTCAAGGTGATCCCAGTACACTGGATACTGCAACTAAAAAAAAAAAAAAAAATATATATATATGAAGGTAGAAAAAGCTGGTTTCGGATCAGTGCCTGTCAGCTGTCTGCTTGAAAGTCACACTAATTCTCACATTAAAAGGTTTCAAGACAGCAACCTTCTTCTCCTGTACCACTAGGCTCACGCTCCTCAACAAGGTCCCTCCAGCCAGAGCGTGTGAACACCTCCCCCTCACTTGCACAAGAATACACAACTGAAAGCAGGCAGAGCAAGTTTGCTGGGGAAAGGGCAGCATTACTTCATTCTGTAATCAGGGGGAGGAGAGGCTGGAATGATTTTTTGGCGATTCCAGAGCAAGTACAGTTGGCAGGTACAGAAATCATTAACTGATGCTAGAAAAACAGCAGTACTCCTAAAGCCATGCTCTTTAGCAGAAATATTGTTGTAGAAGTCAGTCATTTCAGTTCAGCTCAGGAGCTGAGAAGCTACAAACCAAGTAGGATTTTAAGGAGTGACTTTCCACTTGCAGCCAGGCAGACTAAGAACCAGGTTATCCACCGTCCCCCTAAGGACAACACAAACTAACCCAAATGGCTAACAAAGATCCAGCCAAAGGCAAAGATGCAGTGTCCAGGGACCACAAGGTTAAAAACTGACCGAGAAGTTAACAACATGTACACACAAGGCTTTGGGTAAATGCTGCTGTGAACATCCAGCAGATTTCAGCCTGGATCTGCATGCTACATACCCTGGAGTGCAACTCAGCATCAGGTTTTTGGTGGATTCCCTTAGTCAAAACTAAGAAGTTCATTACCCAACCTCTGACTAAAGCAGCAAGCACACATCCGCTAACAGGACTGAGAATACTCACAGCAATAACTCTGTAGCCCCATCCAGTCAGTGCCAAAATTTGCTGGAAAAACACATCTGCAGTTCCACTTACAGGAGGGAGAAATATGAGTGGGCACCGAATGCTCCTAGGGCCTGCATCATACAGCGACCAGACCTTACTGTCGTCATCGTCTACGATTATCTGGAAAAAGAGAGGCACAGAAGGGAGAAGAAACACACAAGACAAATGAGGTTCTTCAGTCAGCTTCCAGGACTGCTTCTACAAAATTTCTGTCATCTAGTAAATATTATAATACTCAAGACCCCTTTGAATAATAAGACCATCTTTGACTCTTCTTCACAATAGCTCTCTTTTCTAAGGCTGCTTAATAACTGGAATTACAGTGTTTGTGTGGATACAGCTGGAGCAGAACTGCGGCCATGCACTGTCAGACCAAATGCTTTGTGTGTCCTGACATAAGCTGGATAATGAACACCGCACCTTGGGAAAGGGG